GTGTGTTGGGGGGGGGGTGGTGTTTGTTGTGGGGGGTGTGTGTGGGGGGGGGGTTTTTTTGGGGGGGGGGTGTTTTGGGGGGGGGGTGGTTGGGTTGGGGGGGGGTGTGGTTTTTTTGGGGGGGGGGGTGGTTTTGGGTGTTTTTTGTGGGGGGTTTTTGGGGGGGGGTGTGGGGGGGGTGTTTTTTGGGGTTTGGGGGTTTTTTTTTGGGGGGGGGGGGGGGTGTTGTTTGTGTGGGTTTTTTGGGGGGTGGTGGGTTTTGGGGGGGGGGTGTGGGGTGGGGTGGGGTGTGTTTTTTTTTTTTTTTTTTTTTTGGGGGGGGGGGGGGGGGTTTTGTGTTGGGGGTTGGGGGGGGGGGGTTTTTGGGGTTTTTGGGGGTTTTTTTTGTGGGTGGTTTTGGGGTTTTTGGGGTGGGGGGGGGGGGGGTTTTTTTTGGGGGGGGGGGTGGGTTTGGGGGGGGTGTTTTGGGGGGGGGGGGGGGGGGGGGGTTTTTTTTTTTTGGGGGGGGGGTGGGTGTTTTGGGGGGGGGGTGGGGGTTTTTGGGGGGGTTTTGGGGGGGTTTTTTTTTGGGTTTTTTTGGGGGGGGGGGGGTTGGGGTGGTTTAGGGGGGGGGTGGGGGTGTGTGGGGTGTGTGTTGGGGGGTTTGGGGGGGTTTTTGGGGGGGGGGGGTTTGGGTTTTTTGGGGGGGGTGGGGTTTTTTGGGGGGTGGGGGTTTTTTTTTTTTTTTTGGGTGGGGGGGTTTTGTGTGGGGTTTTTGGGGGGGTTTTTTTGTGTGGGGGGGGTGGGGTGTGTGGGGGGGGGTTTTTTTTTGTGTGGGGTTGGGGTTTTTTTTTGGGGGGGGGGGGGGTTGGTGGGTGTGTGGGTTTTTTTTGGGGGGGGGTGTGTGTGTTGGGGGGTTTTGGGGGGGGGGGGTGGGGGGGGGTTTTTTGGGTGTGGTGTGGGTTGTTTGGGGGGGGGGGTGGGGTTGGGGGGGGGGGTGTGGGTTTTTTGGGGGGGGGGGGGGTGGTTTTGTGTGGTGTGGGGGGTTTTTTGGGGGGGGGGGGGGGTTTTTTGGGGGGGTGGGGTTTTTTTTTTTTTTTTGGGGGGGGGGGGGGGTGTGGGGTGTGTTTGGGGGGGTGTGTGGGTTTTTGTGGTTGTGTGTGTGGTGTGGGGGTGTGGGTTTTTTGGGGTGGGGGGGGTTTTTTTTGGGGGGGGGTGTGGTGGGGGGGTTTTTGGGGTGTGGGGGGGTTTGTGGGTTTTTGGGGGGGGTGGTTTTGGGGGTGGGGGGGGGTGTGTGGGTTTTTTTTGGGGGGGGGGGGTTTTTGGGGGGTTTTTTTGGGGGGGTGGGGGGTTTTTGTGGGTTGGGGTGTGGGGGGGGGGGGTGGGTTTTGTTTTTTTGGGGGGGGGGGGGGTTTTGGGGGTGGGGTTTTTGGGGGGTTTT